TGGCCCATATGTTTGTGTCTTCTGCTTTCTGTTTGGATCACATTTGCACTCATAAGGAAAAAGGCCAGCACTGCACAAGGTGACCCTCCAGTATGAATCTCTATGACCTCTATCTGACCCTCTAATAAAGAGCTCTATGATTAATGAAACTAATAATCTAGTTATATGTATTTATTTTCTGATGATCAGTGAAACTAATAATACTAATAATGTATATGTGTCTCTACAGGATCTCAGGCTGTGCCGTTACAAAGGTAGACTGTGACAATAATGTTGAAGTTCAGGTCTTAAATTAACTTGATCACTTTCATTATTGTGGAATTGGTCCTCATTTCTTTTCCTGTCTCTGCTGCAGCCTCCAAAACGGAGAAGCAGCTCCTGATATTGATGGTGAGATCTTAGATTTGATCTGTTTCCTTTTTCTTTATATATTCTAAATCTTTCTAAAAGCTCTCATTGGGTGATGTGTGATGTGTACAAGTTCTCCATAAGCTGTGGGACGTGATGAGGAGGGGAACTAGGATCCATGAGGAATTCTACCAAGAAGATCCAGACCATGAAGAATCCATAACATCTGTTGATCTTTATGCAGCTGCCAGGCTGAATGATGGATCTGGAGCATCAGAGGACACCAAACATATTCATGATGAAGATTATCTGTTGTTTTTAAAGGGGTGAATTGTAACAATAGTGTACATAGATATTAAATAGAAATCATCAAAAAATGTTCAGGAATGTTTACAATTTGCTTATGTTTACAAGGGGGGAGGAGGGAAGAGGGGGACAGATAGTTAGTTCAGCACCAACATTCCCAGATTACCATAGGACTCTCTGTCCCAGATCTGCGCCTTTTTCTAACAGGAAAACGAATTAACCAAAGGCTCGACTAAACAGGTACGTTTTTAGCCTAGACTTAAAGATGGAGGCTGTGTCTGAGTCCTGAACAATGACTGGTAGGCTATTCCAAAGCTGGGGGAGCGTTGTATGAAAAGGCTCTTCCCCTGACGTAACTTTATTTATTCTATGTACTAACACTGCACTCACTGGACTCTGTCTATCATTCGTTATAACAGGCGCTAGATATTCAACTCATCACTGTGAACTTTATGAAATGGTTGGTAGGCCTTTACTTTCAGTGTGAAGACAAATTCATTGGATAATTTTTGTCTATAATGCGATAATTGTCTATAAAGCAGAAACAATTTCCTAGAGTGATTTTACGATAATTGTTAAAGAACTGTATCATTCCGTTTGTTGTTGTTTTGAATTTGGTTTTGACCCTGATTTGATCTGTTGGTTGTGGTCGTGTTGTTTCTTTGTTGATTGTTTTGTGTGCTGCCTTCTTGGCCAGGGCTCACTTGTAAAAGAGATTTTTACTCTCAATGTGATTTACTCTGGTTAAATACATCATCATCATCATCGTCGTTAACCGCTTAGTCCAGCTAGGGTCGCGGTGGTTAAATACAGGTAAAATAAAAATAAATAAAAAAATAAACACACCAGCCAGAGCAAACCGTTCAAACTCCCATCCCTATATCATAACATACATAACGTGTGTGAGTAACTGCTTTGTCTGGCTATAAACTTGCAGTAGAACCACGGTGTAACGCTTTTCTTTGTGTTCTTGTTAGCCGTGTAGCCTTTAGCATGCTAACGAGCCAGCTAGCAGAGGAACATGATGAAGCTGTATAAACAAGTCATGTATAACAGCAGTTTGTAACCTAAAGGTCAAATGTTAAGGTTTTAAAATCTTAAACATTTCAAAGTACTTTGTTGCTATAGGTTACAAACTGCTTTGTCCGCCATTATTTTGCAGTTTGAAAAGGGAAATGAGTCAGTTCGCAAAGATTTCTGGGAAGTTCTACTGCTGAATTTGACACTGGTGTTCGCCCCTCTGAGGACTCATCTAACAGCCTTCACGTCAGCGAATAACGTAATGGAACAGCCCTTAAGAAGGCATTGGGAATTCCCCCCAATAGGAAATGGAGAGTCCGAATGGACTAGGGAGTGTTAAAACTGGTCCTGAAACTGGGAAAGAAGTCAAAGTTGTTCTACGTAGCATTAACATGAGGCCTTGTCCAGAGATAAAGAGAGTGGACGGTTCAGTCTACGGCCGAACCACGGCTGTTCTGAGGACAGCTGAGAAACAGTAACTGCTGATTGGGTGGTCTCATTACTGTTTTCACATAATCCCTTAAAGCCCATCATAAACTCCTGTGGACCTTAGTGTCTTCATGCTAGCTACAAACATGTGCTGATAACAAACCAGCTTTGAGTAGTTGCAGGTAGCAACAGTTGCTAATCAGTGATTGGAGGGCAGAGAAAATAAGGCAGAGCGTCCACTGTCAGAACTAAAGGGTCTTTGCAGGTACATTTTTTGTTCATCAAGGTACAAACAATATAAATGTACTATCAAAGGTACAACAGTGGTTTTAAGGTCCAGTTGTGAACCTTTATTAAGTTTTTCCCAGTGGAAAAGTACATATTGGGTAGAATTGTCACCTCACAGCAAGGAGAGCCTGGGTTTGATTCCCCGGCCGGGACGACCAGGGTCCTTTCTGTGTGGAGTTTACATGTCCTCCCCAATGCTTGCGGGTTTTCTCTGGGTGTTTTGGTTTCCTCCAACAGTCCAAAGACATGCAGTCAGGCCAACTGGACATGCTAAATTGCCCCTATCAGTGAGTGTGAATGTATATGTCTGTGTGTCTGCCCTGCAATGCACTGGCAACCCAAAGGGATAAACAGCTTAGAAAATGTGTGTAAGACGAGACGGGGTGTGGAGTCCTAGAAAACCTAGAAAATATAATCTCATTGGATTATGGCGCAATTATGTTCCCTGTCTAAAGGTACTGAGATGTACCCTTGAGGGAACCAACCCAGAGCATGACTTAGAGCGTAATTGTTTTGACTGGCCATAACAGAGCAGCAGGACTAACACAAAACAAATCACGTCACTATTGTCGTGTTTGTCTTCTCTGTGTGGGTGGAGGTGTGAAATGGCTCACACAACAACTGAAATGTGGTTGGATGGTGGGTTTACTTGTAGATAAAGGCTTGCAACAGAAGACGTGCATAAGGAGTTAAGTGCTCTTTCTTAGTGCAGAGCTATGGGCTAAAAAATATCCACACCGAGGAGTACGAGCACTGACCTGAACTTACAACAAAACTCCTCCAAATATTCTCCCCACTAAGACACATATAACAATGCTATTGACTACTGAGGAATACATATGCAGAACACATCATTAAATAACACTATAACATTAACACAAAGGCAACTGTAGAAACTAGATAACTCTACTCACTAATCACTACTGTTACACTGTTCTAAAAATGCACCTTAATAAGTGTTCTTACCCCATTTGATTTGATTTGACTGGGGAGACTTGCAAGGCTGTGCTCCACAGTGGCTACCACATTATCAGAACAGTGCTGTTTGGCAGACCCACCTTTGCTGCTGTGTGTGATTTTAATGCCCCCAAAAAATTATGATACATGTAACTAACTAGATTGGCCTTGTTCATTAGATGAGTGCATCTATAAGGCATTTAAGTGATGCAGAAGCAAAGACGAACCTTCACGCAAGCTAAAATGATATTTGTGATGATTATTCCTGGTTATGGTATTTCTATGGTATGCATAGTAGTGAGAAGGAAATTAAGGTATTTTTGGGGGTCTTAGTACAAGAGCAGTACAAGCTATTCAGAAGGAAGTGAATGAAATAGAAGAAGTAGCTCTGCAATACTGTGCTGCACTAAATCTTCTCTTAGCAGAGAAAGCAGGTGTTTGGCAGGTTGTGGGAGGTGAGTGCTGCTGCACTTATATTTCCAGTGCCTGAAGATCCAGGACACCTCTAACGGTATAAAAGAACTGCAGGAAAACCAGAGTTGGGATCCTTCTGCGTTCGTATTTGTGGTTCACCAGTGGGGGTTTGTGGACAAAATTACTGTCGGTTGTGGTTCAGTGATATTTCTGATCCTTGTTATGTTGGTGTGGAAACTATTGATGCTGTGACTCGCTGTATGACCGGTCCCAGCACCAAGAACATGTCACTTGATTATGATCCTCACTCATACTGCAAAACTGACTGGCCATTTGAGTACCACCCGGACCTTTCTGTCAAAGATGACTTCAGTGATTAAGCAGTCTTGGCCCACACACTTACCTTCATATAATGGTGTTGGCACTGATAGTGTCAAAGACGGGAAATGTGAGAAAACATCTTATATTCGGATGATAAGATTAGCTATATTTTTATATTATTCAAGTATTTAGCTTTAATCAAACAGTATTAACTCTCTGCCAGACAACAAAGAAGACATATATATGTCAGCAGAAGACATATAACCTGACATGCTGACAATGAATCCTTTTTAGGAAACATATAGGGTGCAAATATTTCCTGTATAAGCAATACAGGAAATAAGATAACGTCTGTGGTTGATAGTCATTCATTGAAATGAAGCCATCACCTTCTAAAAATAGGGTTTCTGTCCTGGTCTTAAAGTTCATACATGAAGGGTACATGTTCTAGCATTCTAGTATCTAGCATCATAAGCTTTATACTGTTTGCCTATATAGTCCATTGTCACATGATGAATGTTTGAGACAGATCTCTCCCAGTACTGGAATAAAGGAAGGTTTTTCATTAACTCAACTGCATGATTTCTCATCTTTTACTTGATTGAATCATTTTTCCCATCAATACCATCAATACCAATATGCAACATGGAATCTGTAGCTCTCAGTTTGGAGCTTTAACAATTTATTTTGGACCAAAAGGATCCAAAAAGAGAAGAACAGAGTCTAAAACACTTTAGTATCTCTGCTGATGGATGTTGGATGTACTAAAAAGTTCCCTGCTGTTCTACAGGAAACTCAGGACGTCAGCACTCGAGGGGTTTCAGACATTTTTTCGTCAGGGTTTTTTTAGACAGCCACTTTTACTTCTTCTTAAGACATGATTTCACTGAAGTAAACAATTTGACTTCAGTGTGGGTTTGAAGCTCCTCTGCACACACTGTCCACCACACAGCCATCATTAGGTGAGAAGAACTCCATTGTTTATTCAGTGTTATAAGAAATTTGTTGGCACATATTTACAGGAATACATAACTTGCTATTAATCTTACTGTGAAGTAGTAATTCATAGTTGTCTACACTTTTAGCAACAAGGGTTCAGACTTGTAACAATAGTGGAACCTTTTTTGGTGCTATACAGAACTGTTTTTTCCAAAGTTCTTTAACCCCTTAAATGGCCAGGTACACAATTCCAAAACCTAAGAATAACTCAGTCAGTTTGCACTGAAGTCCCTGTAGTTACTGAATAATAAGCAATTGTATGTAGTAAGTCTGGGATTTTAAGGGGTTGAAGAACCATATACAAGAGGTTCTCCGTCATAGAGGAGGGGAATTTCACCAATGTTTCAAAATGATCATTGCGATGTAACCAAACTCATTCGGAGGGGTTTGGTGTGAAATGGTTCATTGTAGAGAAATTTACCTACTCAGATTTCTTTACAGTGGTGGTGATGGGAACCAGGGGTCACAATGTCCACAACAAAAATATAGCCTTTTTATTTACTATCTAAAACAACCAGTGAATCTACACGCGTCTTCTGAGTGTTTATCTGTAATGTTGATGATGGTAACTTAGTGCTAAATCTGAAAAGACATGTTCTGTGTAGACGATATTTTGCAGTAGAGTGATCTGCATGTATCTCTCCAGAATTTAAAACTTCCTATTAAAGCTATTGAAAAACAGTGTCTCAGGCATCAGACAGTGTTTTCTGATCCATGTTATGTATTATTTTTTTGTAAGAGAGCTTTAAAGTTATTAAACTCTTCAGACGTCTGGTTCCCATCACTACCACTGTGAACAATTCTGACTTGGTAAGCATTTCACTAATGGAGCTTTTCACACCAAACCACTCTGAATGACTTTGTTTATATCTCAACTATTTAATTATGCAGGAATTCTGAAAAAAGGGTGGAATTGCCCTCCTGTTAAATAACTCTTTAAAACCACTGGCTTTAGGAAAGAACCCTTGAAGAACCCCTTTTTTAAAAGTGTAGTGTCATCATCTGTGATTTCTTCAGTATTCAGAATATTTAATTAAAGACTGATATAGAATGTTTTTTTTTTGTACACAGAGTTTCTTGAACAGTATTAAACTAAAATGAGGTGAAAACAGGAGAAATGAATGGGAAGTTAATCTGCATGTTTGCATTTTTGTTTCTGACTTCTGCTTTTTTACCACAGTGAATGACATGGAAGTCATGGTGTGGCTGTGTTTCTCTCTTCTGCTCTGTTTTCTTGCTAAATGCCATGGTGAGTAAATTTCACTTGTTTGTGTGTTTATTATCATTTTACTGTCATTCGGGAGGCTGTTATATATAATATTGTTATATATAATATTGTTCTATTTTACGCTTCTGTTATGAAATTTTTACTACAGTTTGAAATCAGATACAGTGACATTAATTTCCCTTTCAAAGAAAATCTTGTTTTTCTGTCTGTTCAGTGTTTCTGTTCACTTTTACTGTCATTTTAAGATATGAATTTTCAGTTATTGGCTGTTTGTCTATTATTGTTGATAAAGTGAGCTGGATCAAAACTAATGGTAAATTTAAAGGCTGTTTTTCTCAAACTTACATCAGGTTTTTTTTTTTTTTAAGGGCAAACTCAGTTCATTTATATGAACAAGTATAAAACAGAGTTGACCTGTGAAGGAAACAAATGGAAAATAAGCACAAAGTTTCACAACAAGATTGACCCGAACCATTTGGTACAGTGTGACCGCATCAAGATTGAGCTTGATGATAAAGATAAACTGGAATTTTGCAGAAATAAACAATCACAGCCAAAGTGTGTTTGTGAACTGGAAGTAAAGAGTGGATTGGTTGCCTGTGTTAAATCTCCCAACGTCGTCTATTCATACATATTCACTGTTCCAAACCCAAACAGTGAGTAACTTTTCATTCCCTGTATTATTGTTGTTAATTAGTGTCTTATTTTCTCTCTAATGTTTCTCAGTAGTCTTGCGTTCTCATCTGCTCTGTTTAGTGTGTCACATGTCATACATGTGTGCAGTAAGCAGGGTTGGGATGTAACGGAATGCAAGTATTTGGAAAATGACGTATCTGTATTCAGTCCAAGTTACATTTTGTAAAGGCAGCTTTCAGAACACAATTACTTTTTACAGTTTAGGAGAATATTTTTAGAATATTTACTTTTAGAATACTTAAGGATATAACATTTTTCAAATAAACACCATCAGTGCTTGGTAAGTAACTATTTTAAAATAAAAAAGACTTACTACAAAGAAGAACCCAAAAAAGGGCTTCTTTACCATCACCGAAGTTCCTTCTAAAGCTTGACTAGACTGATAATCACTGTGATGATCAGTTATTAATCTGAGTGTTAATAAACTGTTTTGAGGGATGACTGAACTGAACAGTCTCCTCATTGGTGCACATGTTCACAAGTGATAAGCTTAGCTTTGGTCCTGTACTGGACTTGTGTGTGTGTTCTTTGGCAAGTACCATACATGCCAGTATGCTGAAAATCAACAGCTTCTCACTTCATACTCAAATTTGTGAGATTTTATAATTGGGATGTGGCAAATTGTTGGTTTAGAACCTATTTGTCAAACACAAGGCCGGGGGCCAAAACAGGCCCATGGCACAATCCTATTCAGCCCGCAAAATTATTTTAATTTTCTATTATTATTAACCTGTTTCACCATGCACTACAGTCCCCAGCATGCCAGGTGTCTAGTTCTGACAAATAGGCTGGTTTTAAAAGCTTACCTCCTGGGGAGATTTAAAGAGGTGTAGCAGTTATCCATTGCTAATGTAGTCTATTGTTTTATGTAAGATTTAAAATTATTTTTGAATAGTTCCAGTATTCAGTCCCTGTTTTGCTGTTGCAGTTTTGACATCATTTGAATATGGCCAGTTTGGTTCATGGCAAAATGTTAAGTAAAATGAAATAAAAAAACACAGCTGTGCTTTATCAATATGTGCTTTATCAGTATGTATTCTAAGTGTATCTGAATATGTTATTTTCTATGTATTGTAATAGAGTAGATTACTGAAGACATTTAGGACAGTGTATTTATTATTCACCCATCACTACTTTTTCAAAGTATTTTGCCAAACCTGGCAGTAACCAAGACAAAGTAATACATTCTACTCTTTTCTCCCTGCAGTAACATCCACACCTGAGAGAACATCTTCACTGAAAGTAACTGAAGGTGAATCAGTGAGTTTAAACTGTAGTTTCACCTTCACACAAAAATACAAGGGTATGCCATTTGTTGTTTACTGGATTAAGACTGTTGGACAGAGCAGCACCTGTGTGTATTCTTATGATTATTCCAAGCATAATTTGCCCCAGTATGGTCACCACTGCACTGTGCAAAAAGAACTGCTTAACAGACTCTCAAACCAAACCAAAGAACTGAACAGTCACAACATCAGGATCAGTGAAGTGATGGAGTCAGACAGTGGTCAGTACCTCTGTGCTGTACAAGTGCACCCAAATAATAAAAACACTGCTAGAAAAGGAAACTGGAAGGTGATACAAAGAGTTACAGTCAGTGTTCAGAAAGACAAAAGACCACAGCCAACTGGAACCACTGTGACTCAGAAAACAACAAAGAAAACAACTCAAAAAACAACAAAGAAAACAACAAAGAAAACAACAAAGAAAACAACTGAGGAAAACATTGGTGAGTTTGCCCTGAACTGATTTTATGTGTGTATCATAGGGGAGATATAAATGACCCTCACAGCTAATCTACATTATTTTATTTCTAACTGCTGATGTTTTCACTGTTGTCTCTACACAGATGATGATCGTCTTAAGCCCTTATATGTTGCAGTTCCCATAATCCTGTGTCTTCTGCTGATTGTCTTGGTCGTGTTAATAAGAAAGAAGTGCATCACTTCACAAGGTAACCACACTGTGAAGAAATAGCTCAAAAAAAGTTCTCTGTGTTTTTATCTGGCAATTTACTAATAGCCATTTGATATTGTGATCATTTAATATATATTTACCATATTTTCTTTCATACAGGATGTCAGACTTTACAACAAAGGTGAGCTGTCGCAGTTATATTTATCTTCATTTTATGTAGACATGATTTCCATTATTGCATCAACTGTTACTCATTTCTGTTACACCATGTTTTCCTCTGACTGCTGCAGAGAAGAAGCTCCTAACATGGACTGTAAGTGTGTCAGTGTTTCAGTCGTGTCATCTTCTTCCTCTTTTCCGTGTTCAGTCGTCTCTGTAATGCTTACTGTATAATCTTTACTCATGCTATGTGCAGGTTCTCCATATGCTGTTGGAAATGTTGAGGAGGGGACTTTCTTTGGATCTAAGACGGCTGATCCAGGCCGTGAAGAATCCACACCATCTATTGAGCCTTATTCAGTCGTTAGACTGAACAGCTTATATGAATCTGGGGCTTCAGATCACAGCAGACATATTTAATCCAAAGCTGCTGATCTGTGTGTGTTAAAGGCGCCTCAGTGCAGCAGCTCACAGGCTGAAACACTGTAGAGAAGAACGCAGAGTAACAGAGTGGACAAGCTTGTTAAGTTATGTTTGTATCACCAGTCATATGCAAAAGTTTGAACACCCCCAGGTCACATTAGGTTTTATTGATTTTCTAACTAAAAATAAGTTAACATATCATCTATAGGGAACACGCTTTAACGTGATTTTTTCATATTTTAGGCACAATTTCAATTTTCCTTGCAGAGTTCCACATTTCAAGGAAAAAAAAACAAAATAAAAAACATTTCATATTTTTTTTTTCATTCCAAATAGTTAAATTCAGCAAACAAACAGTAATTGTGCATTAAGATGTGTAGAAGCATGTTCTCTGTAGAGGATGTGTTCACTTATACTCACTTAGAAAATCAAAAAATACATGTAATGTGACCAGGGTGCCCAAACAACTTTACATACACATACAAGTATCTCCTATATGCATTATAATGTTTTTCACTTTAAAGCATATATATTTCACTGCTTTTTTCAAATTTAACAGTTCCTTGTGCTAATATATAAAATAAATATCATAAATATCATATCAGTTTTGAATAATGTGTTTGTATGATTGAATCTTGTAACAGGCATTTAATATATTCTTTACCCGAATCAGTCACCAGCACAGACATTTAATGTTTGCTATCTATGATACTGTATCATTGTTTTATGCAGTCCTGTCCACCAGTGTAATTCATATGTGAAACAGCAGAGGTGATGGTGAAAGTGTGAAGGCTAGTTGGGTGGGTGTATTTGTTTGAGTGGGGATGAACTCAATGTGTTCAAGGTGTCAATAATGTTTACTAGGGTTCCTTAAAAATAGGGCTGCTCAATGCTGAAGCAACAACAAACATAGTTTTATTCTATATGTCACTAACTAAATTCTTATTTAACTTTGAATTTATATTTTAGTTACAAAATAAATGGTAATGTTATAAAATAAAATAGTAAAATCCCATTTTGATACCTACCTACATGCAGTCATTTTTTATTTTGTTTGGTTTGTTTGGCCCTCGGCTCATCACAAACACTGCACTTTGCTCCCCCAAGAAAAAAGGTTTGAGTAACCCTGATTTAAAGCGTGACAGCGTGCATGCCTTAAAACCTTAGCCAAAGTTGAAAAGAAACACCTATTTTAGCCCTAATTATCTGTTCAAAAAGTACAGTAGTGTTGGCAGCATTTTTGGTTTATAGTTGTATACTGAAATGCCATTATGACCCACCAGATTCGTTCAATCCCTACACACTACAGCAGGAGGCGCTGCCATACCACTGTAAATACAAAATCTGCTTATGATTTTCTCTGCCTTTCACATGAATGAAACAAGCAAAAACAAATAATGTAAGTATAATTATTGCAATTTGATTTCCAGTACAGTCCTATCAACTATTTTAAGAGCAGTGTATCAAGTAATGTAGAACAAACACACACACACACACACACACACACACACACACACACACACACACACATATATATCAATTTTAAGAGTTTTATGAATTCATAAGGCCAGAACAGTGAAAAAACTTCAGTTCCTGTGCTGATACATGGACTAAAAAGGTCCACTGCAGCTTTATAAAAGTTACTCTGTGGATATATTTTTAGTGTTTTTCTGGTAGCTACTTTATTTTTGAGCTTTTCCACTGCAATTTCCTTACTTTAGTGTGTGGTTGAAGCTCCTCTACACACTTCTGTTCATTATATGAGAGTTCTTAGTTCAGAAGATCTCCATCTCCATAAAGAAATTTATTTTATAGTAAATATGTAACATATTTACAGAAACACATAACTCATATGTTATTCTAAATTGAGAAAATGAGATTTAAAAGGCTATGTGACACACACACATTTGACTGAACGATTGTCTGATTCATACTTATCATACTCAGGTACATACCTGACTGTCCCTGATTGTATCTGACTGTAACTGATTATACCTGACTATGCCTGACTGTATCTGGTTGTACCTGACTGTCCCTGATTGTACCTGAGTGTCCCTGATTGTATCTGACTGAACCTGATTGTATCTGACTGTACCTGACTGAGAAAACAACAAAAAAACAACTCAGAAAACAACAACTTAACACACTTAAATATGGCATTTTCTGCACAGTTCAGTCCTCAATTTCTATTTACTTTCTGAATTTAACATATTGGGAACAAATTAAACATAAAATTTAAAATGTGCCATAACTTTTGCACAGGGTGCATTTAATGTTTATGTTTCATCAGATAAACAGTGTGTTCTCTGCAGAGGGTGTGTGAAGTTATTCACACTTAGAAAACCAATACTACGTGTCATTATATATATATCATTATATATATATACCTGAAGCAGCAAAACAACCCCAGACCATCACACTACCACCACCATATTTTACTGTTGGTATGATGTTCCTTTTCTGAAATGCTGTGTTACTTCTACGCCGGTTGTAATGGGACATACACCTTCCAACAAGTTCAACTTTTGTCTCGTCAGTCCACAGAGTATTCTCCCAAAAGTCTTGGGGATCATCAAAATGTTTTCTTGCAAAACTGAGACGAGCCTTTATGTTCTTTTTGCTCAGCAGTGGTTTTCGTCTTGGAACTCTGCCATGCAGGGCATTTTTACCCAGTCTCTTTCTTATGGTGGAGTCATGAACACTGACCTTAATATTGATGGTGAGATCTTAGATTTGATGTGTTTTTATTTTTCTTTATGAATTCTAAATCTTTCTAAAAGCTCTCATTGGGTGATGTGTGATGTGTACAGGTTCTCCATAAGCTGTGGGACGTGGTGAGGAGAACTAGGATCCATGAGGAATTCTACCAAGAAGATCCAGACCATGAAGAATCCACAACATCTGTTGATCTTTATGCAGCTGCCAGGCTGAATGATGGATCTGGAGCATCAGAGGACACCAAACATATTCATGATAAAGATTATCTGTTGTTTTTAAAGGGATGAATTGTAACAATAGTGTACATATATATTAAATAGTCTCCCCTTTTGATGAGAAATCATTGAGAAATGTTCAGGAATGTTCACAAATACTTCTTTCCGTTTCATATAAATCTTCATTCTAATGTATGATATCAAAATATATGTGTATTCAGAATATGCATATCCTTGTTATCTTGTTTTGGTGTGTTCTCCATGGATCAATGTATTACAATGTATGGCATCCTTGCTTCTTCCTTTGTCTACCTTTTCACGCTGTTTTCCTTTGTGTTGGGAAACTCATTATTTGTTTTTTCCTTTTGCTCTAATAACTCAAACCCATCAGTCTTACCCTGAAAAACAGCCTTGGTTTTAATTTGTGGAAGCTGTGTAAATAATAAATCAGACAAGCAAAAAACTATCTAAAGTGATGGGCCGTTAAGGATGCAGGCACTGCCGCTTGTTTTGATGTACATATGCAGAAGAGGAAAAGAAATAGCCTAGAGATAATGAAGCTCTGATCATGATGACTGAATTTCCATGGGCAATGAATGATTTTGACTGCAGGATCTGTCAGCAGTTACCAAGCAGCACTAATACAGCAGTGTTTGCCCCACTCAAATTGTCTGAATGATGATCTATCAATTGGCTAAATTTGGCAGAGAAATCTGATAATGACTCCAGGAGCCCATTTCTCCCACAGATGGAGCAATAGAGTCTGTCTGCAGACATGCACTCCCAGGCAGATGCACTCTCAGCCCCAGTGAAGTCACATGCACATGCACCCTGCCACAATGGCAGAAGCAGCCCAATGACACGATAACTTTTGGCTGCTGCTGCTGCTTAGCGACATCATCACTTAACCCATTTTTCATCCATAACACGGCATAGAACCCATCATAGAACCCATCATAGAACCCATTAAAAGTGTCTGTTGGTTCCTGGTGGTTTTCAGTAGTCACTAATGGTGTTCTGTGTTTTCCTGATGGGTTGATATCACAGTGTAAAGAATTCTGATTGTTTAATCAGGTGTTTTGGGACTGATTCCACATACATTTGATCGTTTCCTAATGGTTCCTAACAGCAATAAATCAAGCCAATTCATGTTAGGAAGCAAAACCATCCGATTTTATTTCTTACGGCGCTGCAAACACAGTACGCTGTGCCCTCTACATTGTCACAATGTTGAAATGTAATTCCTCAGAAAGTTATGACAACGTTGTCTGACAACTTTTTAGGAGGTCGACGACGTTGACAAGACGGCAAAAGTAATCGGTACTATGTTGACTGTACGTTGTCACAACCTCCTAGAATCCTTAATAAGTTCTGTTTTAATCACTATTACAGTTTTTGATAACCATTTCTAATTGTCTTCAGCCGGGCTTTCATGAGTTTCAGTGGTAGCCTTTTTGTTTTTTCTGCAAATAAACCCGACATTCATGTCTGATCGTCATGGTAGGTTTTATTTTGAAAACGTCCATATTTAATTACCTTATTATCAGTATGGCAACGCTAATATACATTCAGTGTAACTCTTGTTTCCCAACATTACGTAGTTCGCTGTTTTTCCTCATAAAACCGACAAAAACACTGCCGTGGCAGAGCAGCACTGATGTCATCATTAGGCTGACAGTGCATGTCTGCAGCCAGACCCTTCTCAGATAGAGAGACCATCCTCACACATGGGCCAAAGAGCTGGTATTCTTCAGTACATCGAAACAGAAGTTAATAAATATCGTCTGCCTGTAATAAATATCGAGGGTAGCCTGAGTAAGATGTCATGTCATAAAGAGTAACGATTCTCTGCTTTGTAGAGTCACAGTATCTCACATGCCATGGTTGCTGAATATATGACTTCACTTACCTGTGCCATACATAACGGCTCACAACCAATAAACACACCTGCCAGAGCAAACTGTTCAAACTCCCATCACTATAGCATAATAAACATAACGTGTGAGTAACTGCTTTGTCTGGCGATAAACTTGGAGTAGAACTTAAGTAGAGCCGTGGTGTAACGCCTTTGTTTGTGCTCTTGTTAGCCGTGTAGCCTTTAGCATGCTAACGAGCCAGCTAGCAGAGGAACGTGATGAAGCTGTATCAGAGGTCATGTATAACAGGTGGAGTAGTTTGTAAACTAAAGTTCAGTAAATCAAATGTTAAAGTTTTGAAATGTTAAACATAGGTAACAAACTTTTTGTCCGCCATTATTTTGGCGTTTCAAAAGGGAAATGAGTCCGTTCGCAAGTTCTGCTGCTGAATTTGACACTGATGTTCGCTCAGTTCCTGGC